CGGTTAAGATAGAAAATCATTTTGCGACAAACAATAGACGATATTTATTAAAATTTTACATAGTCTAAAACTAGGCATTTCGCTCTATCCATTCGTAAAAAAAATTTGTTTTGGCTTTTCCATGATCGAGAAAATTAGCTTTCTTTTTCTGCTAGGTGTTTTCCGAAACTATGTGCTCAGTGTAATCGGTTTCCGATTTTTTTCGAAGCTTCAAATTCAATGAACTTTTTACCGAAGGTAGACCTAATAACGATACATATGTGCTGATAGCGCAAACCAGGGCAAACGCTCCTGGACCGAGTTATAGATTTCCAAAAAAAAACCTCGGTTTTTGAAATAAATTAGGTTTTTAGTTCATTAACATTTAAATTAAAAAGGACCAGGGCGGATCCTGGAACATCTTGCCATATCCGGTCTTAGGATCCCGCAGGACCGTATTGGATCCTTCTGGTTCGTTAGACTGGGTTCTATTACACACGTAAGGGGCTGACGTCTGTTTTTTAAGCAACTACACGTCGACGAATCAAATTTGTATCAGCCTCTGCACTCTGCAGGGGGCTGAAAACTGTTATCCGAGAAGCTGACAAAATCTGATTTAGAGTGTATACAATATCATACTTGATAAAGGCAAAAGATGAGATTTCATCCATCGAAGCATTATCCTAACAGAAAGGCTTACTGATAGATATATGATATCAAGAATATTAACGGTGTAATGTGGTATACGAGCTGCAAACCATTATAACTATAAAGTAGAGTTACATAAAAAAATAACCCCAGTTCCTGTAAACAGAGAGATGTTTTTAAGTATGAGATAGATAAAGAAATAAAATCGCTTTGAAATTGTCTTGAGCTCAAGCTCTAACTGATCCTGAAGCGAACGAGGTAGCTTAATTGCATCATGTCCATATCCTATGAGAAAACCGGGTAAAACATGTTGAAATCGAGATCCCTACTATCTGCGTAAACATTCTTCAAAGAGAGGTGTCTCGGTCTAGATACTTGTGCTTTTTGGTGTTCGTGGACTCAAAGAGTTAATGTGTTGAATAAGAAACTAGATTTTTTAGCTAAGGAACACCGAAGTTCCCTTTCGAAATAGTCCTTATTAAACAATTACTCATGATCATGACAAAGCTTGATTCTGAATGAATTTTATTCCATCTAATTGAAAAATTGATCTGATAAAACATAGACCGAGTTTCAATGGCAAACAAGGAAGTTCTAAAACAATAGAAATGCTATGTCCCTAAATTGTGGAGCGTTCCAATTACTGTTGCAAATAAGCGACATCTCTTAAATTCGACTCAGACAACGAAATCTCGGCACAGTAAGTAATTTTTAAATTAACGTTAAATTTAATGATATTTTTTTTACTCAATCAGCCTTAAAACTTTATATAAAATTTGAAGGAAGTGAAAAGTTAATGATGGACGACAAAAAATCAGCTGATTCTACTCCAGCAACTTTCTTCTCTAGCTTATCTTAACCAGTATGGTACACTGTCCCCACATGTTACGATAAATGTGTAATGTGACAATGTCATGCTAAAAATGTGACAGTGTTACGTTGACACTGGTATAGCACACTGAGGATGTTTTATTGATAAGAAAACGGCTGACACTGCACATTTTATTAATTCTGTCTTTTGTTTCGATTTTAGATAATAATGTCTCACAATTTTTGTCGAGATTGTGGTTCGAATCAATTTGAACATATTGATGGTCGATTGTATTGTGTTGAATGTCAATCACAAAGTGTTACATCAACAATTCATGTCTCATTTGCTAATGAAGCAAGTGAACAATTAGGACGGAGAGTGCGAGGTCAAACGCAAGAAAAACAAGATAGAATAAATATCTTTGAATCAAGTGAAATACATTCATCCTTCTTGAAAAGAGAAACAGTTAATTATGATGAAACAATTGCAAATGACGATGAAAATGTTCCATTGGAAACATATGTTCAGAAAATTGATGAGGATACATTGGCAGAAGAGTCGATGCACGCTGATCATATTTGGTCTTCTTATGAAGCATATAGTTACATCTTATACGAGCAAACAAAAGCATTGATTCAATTAGGTATCAATTCAGACGTTAAACAATGTGTTTATATGCTATATTTAAGATATTTATCCTCCTGTGGAATATTGAAAACAAATAAAACAAGGGAAACTACATCACTGGAAAATAAACGGCTGAAAACATTAGAAGAGTCCGAACAAGTGTATATGAACAGAGAGGAGTTTTACGATAAATACAATACAAGAATAGTGAAAAAATCCTTATGTGCTGTCAATTTAGATGTATTAGTGTCATTGTTACATTGGTAAGAGTTTTTAAGGCATCCACTATCAAAAGAGTTAATTTTCGTCAAAAATATCGATTTATACACGGTTGAATAGTTCAGCCTAGTTTTCGACTGCACTATAATTTTTTGGTTTTACGTTAGTTAACTAGATTTTCAATCCAGTTTTTGAGATTGTTTTTTTCTGTCGAAAATAAATGATCCTTCGTAATCCTCACAACTCAATTTTGTTTTGATTTGTTTAGTTCAGTTATTTTAAGTATTTTATGTATATTTTATTTTAGCGCGTGCTATTTAACTGGACAACCGGTGACAATAAAGCAATTTGTTCAGTGGATAAATGATTCGAAGTTACCCTATTATGATATTCACAAATATTTGCCAAAATGGATGAAACCTACTGGTCGTGATCGATTTTACCTTTGTAAAATGACGATAAATACATCAATGTTATTTGAGTATATGGATATTATTCGTTCATGTATAAATCCTTATTTGAATCGGCACATCTTTGATAACAAACAATTGTATAAACAAATGTTAACACAAACATGTTGTCGATATTCTACACAAATTTATTTGCCCTATAATGATATTGAATTTTTAATTGATCATATGTGCAATAAAATATTATCTAAAAAACGTTCACATAAATATCCAATTCAGACAACATTTGATATTGAACTTATTTCACTATCTATTCTCATTCTAATTATTCTTTTATTTTCATTAAATGAAACGGTTTTAGATGATTTTATTCAAAATATAAATCAGTATATATCGGACAATCAAGATATTGCAAAAGAATTTATCACAAAATATTCTCGACGACAATTTTCCTACTCGTTATGGTTAAATAATTTGGAAAAGCTAAATCAATTAGAAAAAATTAGACAATTTCAATTTTTCGGTCGTACATCAGTAGCAACAATGAATTTATTGAAAACCAATCATTCATTATCAAGGTATCTTAATTGCTTGTCAAACGTATTCCGAACGATACATATGACAAATGATTACGTTAAAATTGAAGTTGAAAATGAAGAAAAATTGATTGATCAACAATTGAGAGATAATTCAAAACAAAATTCATTAGCCTATCTATTTCAGACACATCAATATTTCACAGACTATTACAACTTAAGAGTGGATAATACCAAAATTGTTTTGAAAAGAAGAAAAAGTGAAGAGAATGATGAGAATGAACCATTAAAAAAACGAAAGAAGCAATCAAATGATGAACATAGTCCTTTGATGACGGAGTCAAAAGAAGAAGAGTATGAACGAATTTCAATTGCAATCGATGATCATACAAGTAAATTTCTAAGTGATATCCTTAAAAATAGATGTATTTTTTGATGAGAAGTAGTTTGATAGCTAAATGGACGTTGTTTCGAGTAAGTTAAGACTGAATTTGAAGACTAAAAACGTTTTGTCAGTCCTGTTTCTATCGTTTTTGACTCTTTCTTGGCAGATAAAAAGTCTAGAACAAAAGAAATAACATCAGTGATCTAATGCCATTTGAATGGCATAGCAAACGAATTAAATAGAATGGTAGATTGTATACAACGCCTGTGAGACTCTTCATTCTGAATAGAAATGAGAAAAAAGTATATAGTGTCTTAATTCTAATTGAAGAAATGTGAGTGTGAGACATTAAGCCACGTCTCAAAAGTAAAATCAAAAGAGAATAAACGATATACAAGGACTGAAATCAGATGTAACTTTGAGTTGAAACATATTCTAACCATCTATCGAGTACTACAGACAAGCTTTTTGGTCATACTTCCTTAATAGTATGAAATTATGCACTCTTTTTGTTTCTCCACTATTCTTAAAATTTCAAGACTATTATCTTTATGTGTTTTTAATTTTATATCAAATATCTTTGTTTTCTTGTTGTAGGAGTGGAAAATCAAACTTTAAAAATTTTGATTAATAATTATTCACCGAAACATTTTTCATTTAGTGAAAAGTTATTTTTGTACAATTGTTTATTATCTACAACAAGTGTCAATTTGAATCAAACTCGGACATTTTATTCCTTACATCAACGTTTTCATAAAGCATCATCTTCCCGTCATTCACTAAATCATTTAGTTAAAATATTAACAACATATTGTTCAATACCTTATAATCAACAATTTTATTCGTGTTTATCAACTTATCTGAAATATTTTTATTTGACAAAACCGATTTATAGCTATTTTAATACAAGAAGAATGAAATATATAACGACAAATCATTCGCCTACAAATACAACTACAACAACAACAACAACAATGATGAATTTAATTGATATGCCAGGAAAACGAAAATATGGAATTGACATTCTACCCATAACGCATAATTTTTCTCGTGAGAAAAGAATGAATCAAAAACATAAAAAATTGATAAATGATGAAGATAATAATGAATTAAAATTAGAGGATAGTGAAGATATAAAATAATTTTGATCATTGTAGCTTGTGATCTCTATTCTAGTCAGATAAATATTTTGGTAATTATTAGTCTTTCTTGTTTTTCGTTCTTTTAGAAAAACTTTGACTAAATATATTTTTTATTTAATTTATAATCTAAATCCGTCGAAGTTGAGAACAGAGGATGAAAGTTTTAAGGGGTTTAAACAGTGTTCAACTTCGATACAAACAGAATATATTTAGCATTCTCTACCTTCCTAGAACATGTTTACCTACTAGCTATAGTTCTCGTATGTTTCGACACTGTACACAAGGCTCACTAGCCTTTACTGATGTAGAACTAACTTTTTTTTTGTTCATTTTCGTTGACACACAAGATCTACTGGTCTTTTCGTGTGTTTGAGATTTATTTATCTCTTATACAATGCAATAACTGTATGAGAGAATATTCTTCGGGGCTTGGCGCACTAACTTTACTTATATCCTCTACTCATTCTTCTTATTCTCAATGACTCTCTTATTATTACAGACCGATATTTGCTCCAGGAAAGCAATCAAATTAAAAACAAAAAAGGTACTTTTCTGTACAAAATTCTATTTTTGTTCTCTCCTACCCACCCATACATACCGTTTTCGAACTAAACTGTGTCTAAACGATTATGAGACGGCGGGACCAATTTCAGTTCGCCAACCCGTATTTAGTCTTGTCTCAAAAGGGATCACATGCTATGTCAGGTTAGATTTATATGAGAAACTTCACGATTTAATAGTATTTTATCTTTTCTATAAATGCTTTACTATCCATGGCGATGTTGAACGTGAGTTTTTGCTTTGTCTTATCCCTAAATATTGTGCAAATAGAAAACATTTTTTTTTTTGCATTTGTACGATTATATTTTTATAGAATATTTTCGTGGGAGACAATGTTACGTTTCTCATAGTAACCGGTATTGTGAAGAAGTTGTAGATTTTGTATTTTTTCACAAACTTGATCCAAAGATAACTTTATTTTTTTATCAAAGATAACTATCAAATATAAGATCATCAAAGATACCTTTATTTTTTTTGTTTCATTCTATTCTGACCTTTCAATGACTACTAGGCCAAAAGGCATGAGCGTGATTTTTAGTAAATAGATTACTTATATAATGCATAAAATAGCAGAATTTAACGATATTTTTTATCTATGTGTTCTCTCGCTCATGTCATGTGAAGGCCAAAGGTCACAAAAATTGAAATGCAAGTGACCTATCTATTTTTATAAATCTATAATGAAGCTCTGAGATAATTAGAAAAATTTGGGCATAAACGGGTTAATAGAGACAGTTAGATATATTTTTTGCATTTTATTACAAAATAAACGGTCAGTATAATCAACTAGATTGTTTTAATATTGCTTTTGTACCACTTTGTAATGTAGAATATAGATTGATTGTAACAGAGTGTTGGATCAAGTATATTCTCGTAAAAATTATGACTTGGAAGATCGAACTCTCGTTTATTCAAGATATATTAGAAATCGTATCGTTAGCCACAAATTTTAGTGAAAAGAAAACTAATCTAAAAGGAGAAAGAACTGAGATTTTTCAAACTTGGATACGTTAATCGACGAAGTGAATCATGGATAGACAATACTTATAAAAATGTGAAGTATTGACACTATTCTTTGGACTCAGACAATGTCGGATGTAATTCTACAGAGAAGTAGACTGAAGTAGGAGTCGATAGTTTATATGCCATTAATAGTTCTTATATAATGTTTTTGATTTTCTTTTTTCTACTCATTAGAGAAACTATTCAATGTCTACTGAAAGGATTTCTAAAAACTTTTTTCTCTCTAGTTGTATTTTTAGACAAAACTTCGTTAATTTTGCTTTTTTTATTTTTTTTTCGTGATCCTCATACAAAACTGAAGATCATTCAAACTTCACAATGAATACTCAACATTTTATTCTTCAATACTGTAACCACTATTTCACTTAGTAGATTTTCAATCTCTATGCAACATAGTTACCCATTACTTTTTCTTCTTTCTGTTTTTTCTTTTCTTCAATATTTGTTATACTTGAGGATGAAGAATACAGAACTGTTAGTTTTCTTTTTTTACCAATTTCCTTTCTTTTTTACGATAACATTTACATTACACAATTTCTCAAGAAGCATCCAACAGTAATAAAAAAAAATTTTTTTTACGATCAACGAAAAATATTTATTTTCGGTGAGTAAATAGACGTAACACTGATCTATGACAAATGTTGTGTAAAATGAAGGTAGTAGTTCAAGTTTTTCGAGTTATATGAGTACATATTACAAAAGCAGTTAGTCTGATGCCCGTTTCTTTCATGGCATGATTTATTGCCGCATTATCTATTACTGACAATTAAATTAGTTTTTTTCTAAATCAAAGTTTATAGTTGATTCTTTATGACGTAAGAAGAATGACGACAACGTAGAAACGATGATTATAAAGTAAAGGGTAAAAAGATATTTCTCATAGGTTATCGAGTCTATATAAATGTTTATCCAGCATTTGTGAGAAATGTTTTCGTAACAATTTGTTCTATTCTTCATTCATATACAAAGAGTACTGCACAGTGGTGATTCTGATAACGGAGCAGGAAGCGACGATCGTCCTGAATTTTAGGTTTTTGCTATCACTTTCCGTCGCTCTTGAAATCTTGGTTGCGCTGTCGCTCACTCGAACAGAGTGCAGCGTATAAGCTTAAAAACATCCTTTTCAGTTTTCTTACTGATCTTTTCTCTGTAGAATCTTTATTTTACTATATTTACTACTTTCTGTAAAAGCCTTCCGTAGCTAAAAACAACTAATATCCCTGGGCCATGCTACAAGAACTTTTAACCTTGTCCAATTCTTTGCAACAGCGTCTATCTCCACCTGAATATATGAGGCATTTTGTACCACCTTGGAGATTCTATCTCTCAGTGTACTATCTGACAAATAAGTTTCTACAACAAAAAAGTATCCCACCTTACTTTTGATTGAGATATTGTGCCTCAAACGTCCTAGGATAGACGCCCTTGATTCTTTGTAAAAAGAAAGGTATAATATCGTCTTTCCTACTTCATTAACCTGTTCAAATATTGATACAGGAAAAGAAAATACAGTCGAACAAAAAATTGTGTACTATTATTGCCATGATTACATATTTTTGATAATATAGTTTTTGATTCTATACTGTCACACCGTATGATCCACTCATAACGTAATTTCTTTTTATTTGTATAATAGAACAATTAAACGATAATATATAAACTGTAATTAGATTTTATTTTTTTTGCGAGATCACTGATTTTATTACGCGATGAAGATTATTGAACTGTAATGACAATTCCATTTGATACGGTACAGGTATTTTTCAATTATCCTTGAGAAATAATTCGAATTTTTCTCTGACATGCGATAGAAACTAATGTGTTTTATACGGTATAAAAGTATCAAAATGTATATATTTTTATATGTAAATGTTTGGTTGGTACTTGCTCTATACTTTTTCTTTTTTTCTGTAAAATTCCATGACTCTACTCGTAGACGTTTGAAAAACAAAACTGATAACTATTGATAATAGTTTCTGTTTGAAAGATAGATTTTCTGCAAACTTTGATAGACATTTGATGATTTAAACGCACATGCAATTTCATATTGTTTAAGCCATTTTTGAGACTTTCATTTGAATGAGAAGGAATCACACAGATATGTTGTGAAGTTTTGTGTTTAACGATCGAAACTTTAAATTGACATGTGTCAATGTAAAATACTGTTTTTGATAGTAGACATTCGTAAGTTCTTTATCCTTTAAATTATTGTATTCTTACTTTTTCAGATTATCTCATTTAAGTTTTTTCACCATTAACGTTTATTAACATTCGATGAATAAAATTGGTCAAATTCAGAATCAACAAGCTAAACAAGTGGTAAGTTAGTTTTTTTCTCATGATTAAAACGTTTTTAGCTAACAATTTATTTTTTACATCTAATTCTAGACAGAATACGTATTCTGCGTTTGTTGTTTGGCAGAATATTGTCGAGCGCAACATTGACTAGTACGAGTTCTACACCACCATAATTGTAACAATAAAAACGATCAAAATTATTTACAATCATTTTTTAATAAAGTTGGTATTGGATAATAAATAATTAAAAAGCATAAATCAATTAATTTTACTGTCTATCCTATTTGATAAAATAACAATAAGATGCCTGTTAAACGTTTTTTAAATCCGACACATACCGAAATTAAATACAAACAATTAGGATTTTTAATAACGGATTGTCCCGATGATGACTTAATGGTCAATTATATTGAAGTAAGTGTAGACAGATTTGAAGTATATTTATTGATTAAGATCATCAGATTATCGTGGATAAATTCAACGTAGCTACAGTACACCACAAAAGTAGTGACACCCCCTTTAACTCAAGACCCATGATAGCTAGAGACTTCTAATTTTGTGTGGTCATAGCTCTTATCGAATGCTGATCACCCCACCAGCATGAGCCTCTATTGCACGATGGTTCGTGAGATATAAACGTTCCATCTTTTTTTTTTTTAATTCTATAGTAGAAAGAGCGACTTTTAGTTTCTCACCCTTGCTCTTCTACGTATGTTTCAATCATGGATGCTCATTCTCAATGAATTACTATAATCCCATAAGAATTAACCTTCATACTTTGGCTAGATAATCTACAGACACTGTAGAGTCGTTGGTGCGAATTTGAAGTCAAAATGATATTCCTTGACTGAGTTGTGAATTCATTTTTGCAAAGGATCTCGAATTTTCAACAAGAAATAGCGATTCTCGCCAGTCGAATAGCTGTACTTCACTGACCATTAACAGACAACTCACGAGATTCAAATCTTAGATAGAGTAGAGTAGTGGCTACACTTTCGTGAAAAGAAAAAGTTTTCATCTCTCTTAGATCGGGTGATATTTTACGAAAAATAAATGAAACGCTCATCGCCCATGAACCATACTGTTGGGGTGATCACTGTTGTGTAGTACTATAAGTCCACCATCTGAAGATATTATATGACTTAAATATTTATTTAATAAGCGTTTTAAACTTTCTTATTCATTGATACTTTCCTTATTAGGCATACCAAAAATTTGGTGTGACAGCTGTTGTTCGTGTATGTGAACAAAGTTATGATAAAACACCTATTACAGATGCTGGAATAAAATTTTATGTAAGTATAAACATTCAAATTTATCTCCTTTTTATTTTTTCCTGGTTTGGTTTGTTACATTTTTCGTGTATCTCAATATCATCATTCATGGAAAAGATGATTAACGGTTTGTGTTTATAAATATGAGAGTTCAAAATGGTAGAAAATTATCAGTTTCAGATCGAACTATGACAATGATTATGTGCTTTTGTTTTAAAATACATGTACTAATAAAAATAAACTCGTCGCCATGTTATTATCAAATTTATCGTCGAAAAAAACTAGGAATGATTCGTCACAACAGCTATATTATTGTACAATAAGTGTTACGAATAGTATGATATTATTTTCTCTTCTCTAACGTATGCTCAAATATCGAGCAAACATAATACATACCGATGATTCAGTCTCGGCTTGTATTAGTTATAAATTGTAATTAATTTCACTATTTTTTTTTCTACTTAATAGGATCTTGTATTTCCGGATGGTACAACACCGGATATCACTGTTCGAGAAAAATGGCTTAATATTATTAAAGAAGATATTCGTGAAAATCCAAATAATAGTTGTATTGCTATACATTGTGTTCATGGCTTAGGACGGTAGGTTCTTTCTTTTCTATTAATGATTAATTTTAGTTGTTAAATATTTTTTATTTTTTTTTTGCAGATCACCTGTAATGGTTGCATTAGCATTACGAGAAGCTGGCATGTCAAAACAAGATTCTATCGATTTAATAAAAGCAAAACGTCGTGGAAGTTTTAATTTACGACAATTAGAATTTTTACAAAAATATCGTCCCAATCATCGATTAGCTACTAATAAGCAAACAACGTGCACTATTATGTAATTCTTATGTAATTTGAATTTTGTGGCAACTATTTATTCAGGAATTTTTTTTCTTCTCTTCTCTCGCTTTAATTAGTGAACATTTAATTTTTTTTCTTCTAATCATTTTTGTTAGCATTTTTTCCGCTTTATGATTGCTGTTGTTTTATTTCGTACAAATTTTATTTAATAGATTTTATGTTTCAAAAATCTTGATCTGCTTTAATCAATCTATTTATACTTCTTTGTATATTTTGACATTTCATTTTAAACTCTTTTATGGCTGAATTAATTTTCTTTACTGTTTTATTTGTATATGGATTTGGTTACAAACAAAATGATGATTTTTTTATTTATAGACGGTGTTACACTGTAATTTGTTTTTGTTGTCATTCGATAAAGAAGCAGAATTAAGAGTTCAAATTTTTTGTTTTTAATATATCTGTCCAATGGTTAGATGCTTCGAAAATATCAGATCCATCTCTTGCTTCAGTTGAAATTATAGAATTTTCTATTTTCCATCTTATGTGGTTGTATGTTGTTGATGAGCTGTCAAAAAACAGGTTATTTACTGGACCAATCGGTAAGAAAAAAAAACAACAAAACGCAAGAAAAAAAGAATACAGAATTATATTAATGCATAGGGTACATAATAAAGAAATGTATCAAACGTCATCGGTTGATTTAACGGAGAAAAGAGTATTTTTCACCTTGATTAGTTTATGTTCTACTAGAACGAATCTTTAGTACAAAGCCTGCTTGATCCGTATTTAATACATCATTATTTTTATATTTTACGATTTGTTACGTGCTTCTTGAACAAATTCTTCAGCACTTTTTCAATTATTTCTTTTATCAGACATACGTGCTACTCCTTACGGAATGTGCAAACTCGTAGTGAATAAATACTTTATACCCGTATAATGACGTGTATTCAAACATCAACGTTTCGACTTGATAAAGTCTTTTTCAAGGTGACAATAGAAAGAGTGAAACTAAGATAAGATTAAAATCAGTGAAACAGATTTAGTTATTAAAAATGACAGATCATCTAAAATATGTGATTATTTGAAGATGATTAAGGCTCAAATATATTGTCCGACAAGGTAAGTCACTACTTTTTTAGTTCTAAGAGTATACGTGTTCGTATATGTTTGCGTGGACTTGTTCTCAAATGTTTTTCCTGTCTCTTTGTCTATCCAGATTTTGATTATTGATAACCATTCATTTGCTATTGCTATTTTACTATTGTACCCGTTATCCACTAATCTATAAACAGATTTTATCCTCTTTCGTCGCCATCTATTCGATTCATTGTCGTATATAACGCTATTGTTGAACTGAATATAACATCTTTCTCTTATGGCATAATGTTCAACTAATAGAGAGTTTAATTTTGAATGGTTATGCTTTCTCAACTTTATCAGTTTTACCGATATGTTTCATCACCCTCTTTTCAAAGTCAATCGATTCTCCGACATATGTAACCCCTGAATCACATGGTATCCCGTAGATTGATCCGGCTGAATGCTTAATCTCATAATCTCATTTTGAGCTATTTTTATCGACATACTCAATATTGCTCCTATTTTTATCATGTTGAAGATATGTCTTTATATTATGTTTATTCAATAGTCCTTTTAATTTTTCGGTCATTGTTGTTGGCGATTGTTATACAGGTGAGGTATAACAATCGCTGTTACGGATGACGCAAAAAGAATTGCACTGCTAGTATTTTTAAAATTTCTACTCTTTTCTCCACTGGATCGGAACATTCTTTTTACCAAAAGATTCCCCATCAAATTCTCTACAAAGCGATGTGATTTGATTCAAAAACGGTTTAAATATATCAAAAAATAGATGAAGAGCAAAGATATACAAACAGCTATAAAAAATAAATATGAAAATGATGATGGGATGATGGAAATCTTTCGAGTTTTGGATGGGGCCGTTTTATTGTGAACTATTCATATACGGATAAGGATGATCAAGAACACTGGCACTATTGATCTGGCACACTCTCCGGGTCGTCCACGCACAGCTCGGTAAAAGCAAATATCTCAAAGGTGAAACAGTGCTTGGATCGGAAGAAACGGGTGTCAACAAGAAAATTGGCCGGTAAATTGAAAATTTCAAGAAGGAGCATCCAGCGGATATTGCGCCACGATCATGGCTGTTTCTCGTATAAGAAGATGAAGTAATCAGCCATATCTGATCGTCAGAAAAGAAGAGGGTGAATTTTTCAAACTAGGTTCTGAACAACTACACCAACGAGGACACCAAAAAGTGGCTGTTTTCCGACGAAAAGTTTTCGATTTGGATGGAGCGTACAATGTTCAGAACAATCGGATATGGGCAGTCAATCGGCAAGAAGCTGACAAAAAACGTGATGTGAAACAGAAAACGAAGTTGCCAACAAAAGTGATGGTTTGACTTGGTGTGTAGCGAAGGCCTAACAACACCAGCGATTTTGGACAATGGAACAGTGAACGCAGTGAGATACATCAAGGAAGTTCTTCCAATAGCTTTCAAATGCAGTAACAACATGATGGACAACAATTGGACGTATCAGCAGGATGGCACCAGGCCTCACATAAACCATCGGAGTTAAAAATGATGTGCTGACCATTTTCCTGCCTTCATCCCGAAGGACCGTTGGCCACATTAGTAGAAGAAGTGAAGTGCACTGTCAAAAAAGTTGAAAAAGAAGAAATTTTGCATCCTGCACTTGATTTTACTGTACGATTACGTTCCATTCAAAAAAATGGAGAGGACTATATTCGTTGAATAAAATGCACCGTTTTGTAGAGAATTTGATGCCGAATCGTTTGTTAAAAAAATGTTCCTATCAGGTGAAGGAAGAAGAGAAATTTTGAAAATACTTACAGTGCAATTCTTTTTGCGCCACCCGTTATTTGTTGTGATATATGACACTGTTGTTGAATTCTACGCTGAAATCTACCGACATCCACAGGATAACGACTACTTAATAGCATTTGTTCTAATGCTTGGAGATCTGCTGCATTATGTCTAGAATTATTAGCTATTAATACACGATCGGTCATGCTATTAATGATATTATTTCTAATTGCATCATTGTGATTTGATCGAAAATCTAATAGTTTTGTTACGGTGGTTAGTTTTCGATACCAAGACGTTTTTTAGGCAACCATTGTCATTCTATAGAAGTACATCTAAAAATGGTAATCGATGATCCGTTTCAAATTCCATTGTAAACTTTATATTAGGGTCAATACTATTTAAATCATAAAGCAAGTTAATTTTGAATACATGTTTGATCTAAATCTAGGAGGTTACCTAACGGGTTACCGATCGCAGTTACTAGTTGATATATATTTACAGAATTTATTGGACAAAAACTGGAACCATCAAAAATACCCATATCACTATTTAGGTCTTTACGTTGAATGATATAATTGTAATATCAGATTTATATCAGAAATTATTATTATTATATATCAGACTTTATATTGTATTTTATTATTATTATTTTATATTAGAAAAATATGCTAAAAATACACACACAGTTTCTCTGATAAGTTTTGAAAAGTAGCAATGTGTATTTTTAGCATACTTTCTGAACGAAAGAACGTGCAGAATTGTGAAGACATCTCAGAATATCCAGTACACTTTTCTCTTAAATTTGAGACGCCCAAGAGCTGTGGACATCTCGAGTGAGACAAAATGCCAAAAAAAGGTAACGGTTATTCACCTCGGTAGCAGAGTTAGCTGGTCAGGTCGTGAAGTGATACTGTATCTTAAATCTATTTTGAACTGTAGTTAAATGAGAGTCAACTTTTTGGACCAAATTTCTGTTTAGTACTTTCAAAGTGATAGTGTGGTGCTAGCATTAAACATAGTGAAGTTTCCAATATACTTATCAAAAACAAAAAGCTAAAAACTTCTCAAGATTCAGTGGCGGTTTTTTCGTCATCACTTTTTTTAAATTATCATTGTAGATTGTACAATATAGCTTTTGATGCTTCCCAACGAAGGAAAACAAATTAATCATCTCAAAATTTCATATTTTCTTAAACTGTTCTACGTTTCCCTCAGCCAACATTCGAACGCACGAGTACTTTCTCCTTTTTCGCTTCTATATCAGTATCATCTGTAAGACATTAGTGTACATTCATTAAACTAAAATATATCGCCGTAAATAAAACAAATAAGACTACAGCAATGAAAAATGTTTATCACTAACACTTATTGTTTATATTCTCTTTGATCTTGAGTTCCTTCAATTACAGCTTTTACTTTATTTGATTTGATAATTTGACAATTATGTTCTTCTAAATCTTTTAATTTTTCTGTAATTGCATTTTCATCAACGCCCCGACAGGCATCTTCGATTACATACGTACAATAGTTCAACTCTGCCGCATGTAATGCGGTAGAATAAACACAAACATCGGTAGCTATACCAGCAATATAAATATCAGTTACATTTAATTTTTTTAACTGTGAATCCAATGTTGTTTTACTTATTTTTTGATTATCCCAAAATGCTGAATAGCTATCTATATCAGGATCTGTTCCTTTATGTAAACGGATAACGGGTGTATTTTTATTAATATGATTTGATGGTGTTTTATTATCGATTATATGAAGGTCTTTGTGTAATTCTGCGCCCGTTGTATTTTGAATACAATGTGCCGGCCATAAAATTTGCTCAACATCAGCAAATTTTATGTAATCATATAATTTTGCATTTGATGCATCTATTTTACTTCCATCTGCTATTAAATGCTTGCGTAAATTTATACACTCGTAAAAAGATATATGTGTTCTCGGATGCCAATCTTGAGTATAAACAATAACATCAAATTTAATTGTGGCTAATAAATGATTTATAGTTGGTATGACATCTTCTCCACAATGCTTCGATGGGCAATTTCTTAATGATAACGTTCCCGTTATAAAGTCATTTTGTACGTCGACAATAAGCAAAGAATTTACTCGTGTTTTACTGTGTTTCGACATTGTATTTAATTTTAATGACGAAAGTAGCGACCGTGTTCTATAAAGAAACCTAGTAAATCTTAATAATCATACATAAATATAAGAATTTAAATGAAAAAAATATGTTCGTGTACGTCTGATATTTGATTGATCCTTAAGCCGTTCTCTGATGTATTTTTCTGATTCGTAAAGAATAAATTTGATAGATTTTTAAAAAGATTATTTTTTTTTGTTATTTGTGAAAGCAAATTTTAGTGTTGAAAAAGAAACCCATAATTCAACATAAGAGAGCTATGATTATTTATTCTTGATATTTTTTTCTCTTACTTGTAGTGTATTGACTGAAACATGAGGCCAAAGAAATTCATTTTTTTCTAATGTAATCTCAAGCTAATAATAGTATCTAAAATATAAAAGAACACATTTATTAAGTATACCAAACATTGAGCAAATTTTATATAATCATATAATTTTGCATTTAGTGCATTTATTTTACTTCCATCTGGTATTAAATACTTGCGTAAATTTATACACTCGTAAAAAGATGTATATGTTCTCGGATGCCAAAACATTTACTACCCGATGGAAATCAATAGTAGGTATAAAAATGTCTTAGTTTAAATCATCATGTTTATCAATGTTTACCGCTTCATTCGATTGCAAAAAGATTATTTTGTCGCTTATTTATAAAATATTACTCCCACTACTATCGTAAGTCTCAAGGTGAGTTGTGGATAGTTTTCCTATCTACTAATTTCAATCGCCTGTACTACTTGTTGTACTACTTTGTTATTTTTATCTTTATGCCAAGAAAATAACGTCCCTTCATAAACTATTGAAGTGATAACAAAGAAAAGTAGGAAGTTTTGTTGCCAAAATTGATTTCATCCTCCAAACATCCATTCAAAACTTTAGTTCATCCACCTCCATTATCTTCAGTACTCCAGTACAATAAACGATCAATAAACTTTATTTTTAAGAGCAAAGGTATACAAGTCGTTATAAAGCTGACTTTGATTAATAGTAACGTGTGTGTGTAGAGTAAGGTAGAGCCAAACATCATGACACATCAAAGTTATAAAATATACAGCCTACTTTTTAATTTCGAAAGGCTTTTAGAAACGCAATACAAGGGTCCTATTTTTGGTAATAGTGAGGGAGTCATCCTCCCTCATAAAATGTCACAGAAAAACAGAAAATCATTAGTGCATGTCTATAATCTCCATTCACATAACCGATATTGATTGTAAATTTAGTTTCAAATAGGGCATGAAATATTATACATTTCACGCCTGACAGATATAGATACAGGAGCATGATAGCATTTATCCTTAGCTACCCCATATACAGGAGTTCCTAAAACTGTCTGTACATTATAATGCGCTTTAATTAGTTTAATTTAGTTTAATTCTGCAACAGCCGCAGCGACACAAAGTACAAAAAAGTACAGAGTAATAGAGAGATTAAGACACAAGGCACAGACAAACAAGTGACGTATCAACACGTTTCTTCTACCGTCTAGCCTACAAAAGACTAAATGGACAAAACGTAATAAATATGAATTTATCCTTATTAACCTGGCAAAGGTGGCGTGGGAAAAAAAATACCCCATACTGTTTCATAGTTTTTTCCTTCATGGTTCTGAGACTCGAGCTTTCTATATTTGGATTCCTTGTTCAAAACTGAACCTAGCCAGGGTATTTTTAAGCCTTTAAAGCTGAAAGTGAAAGTTTGTCAGAATCCCGAACGTTTAAAGGTCGATTCTCGAGGACCTCTGTTTACAGTCGGATAGGATAGAAATACACATCAGTCGAGTCAGTTTTTGGTCATAATTTCGAATACGATATTTTTATTACACAAAAGTTGAGTTTTGACCGAGAAAATTGAAAATTACGGACAGAATTCATTTTTTTCCGGATTTTTCGCCTCTGATTTCGAAAAAATGAATCTTCTCAGCAATAAAATTTAAAAAAGAGCTCTACATACGTTTAACGCTCGTTTGATGGCTGATCTAACCATGTATGAATCAAAGGTCTAGTCCGTCACACAAAAAACGAGTAGGGTTTGTAAACAGAAGTCCTCGAAAATTGACCAATAAACGTTTGGGACTCTGACAAACTTTCACTTTTAGCTTTAAAGGCTTAAAAATACCTGGCTAGGTTCAGTTTTGAACAAGGAATCCAAATATAGAAAGCTCGAGTCTCGAAACCATGACGGGAAAAAACTATGAAACTTTTATCAAAAAATAAAAGTATGAGGTATTTTTTCTCCACGCATTAAGCGTTTTTCTGACTCACTTTTCTCAAGGACTTTAAGTCTTATCTAAATGGTTAAAAAAGCGGGTTTACAGAGAATAAGCTGCAAGTGAAAATGTCCTATTTTAAAATTTAAACTTTGTTCTGTTGATATATTATAAGGTTTCAAAAACTGATAAAAAGTCTCGAAACTTAGAGTTGTTTGTAAGATAATGGATAATATGATAGTATCACTCTTTTGTTCTTTATTCACGTTTGCTTCCAACAAACGACTCCGCTCTCTTTCGCATCGCAATCACAACCTAAGTCTACTTTCTTACCCTATTCGCGATTCTCGCGCCACGATCGCTTTACATGCGCACAACCCACGCCCCTAAAATATCGCGATTGTCATGGCACGATCTCAACGAAGTCTTATTTTCAAAAAATTTCTAAATTGCGATCGTGACGCGACACTTTTTTCTTACAGCGATCGCGCTCAGACTACGAAATCGCTCCATAACTCTATTTTACCAAAAATTTTCCAAAGTCACGCCGAGACTCGTAAATTGTTCCGCGAGGTTTTGCTACTCATAAGAAAATTTTAGACGTCTTTTGCACGACTCGCGATATGTGTGTAAATTAAAGCGTGTGAAAACAGAAGATTAATTTACAGACGATTTTAAGTTGAATCTTGTAAATTTTTGCTTAAATTAACTATTTTAATTGCTCTCAGTTATCGCGTACTTTGACATCTGGACAGGAAAACAGTAAAAACATTTGCATATTGATACACGTCTGCGCATAATTTCATCGTTGTTCAACGTGTGTTTATGGACGAAAGATATAGACACATCATTTCTTCTGTTTATAACACAGTGCGAAGAGCTTTTTTCTAAGTGCAATTTTTGTATAGTTTATCAATGCTTTTTCGTTTTTGCGAAGAAAATAATATAATTAAGAGAGAATAATTAACATAGGATAAGTACACAGAAACTATAAAGGGAATGTGGGTCAATAGAGACAATTTCTTCTTATAATGTTGTTTAGTCACACAGTTAAACCATGTCTCTCAAGTACTTAGAAGAAGCCAGTAGAGTTTATTTTCCTCAGATAATGCACTAAAATCTAAGATATTTCTTTCTGTATAGATTCAATTAAACACAGTGATTATGCAAGATCTCAAAGTCAAAATGCATAGAAGTGAGAAAATGCCTCAAAGGCTGATGTCTTCACAAATGCAAGTATCCTTGGTGTAAGATCGCTTTATCATTAGTGATTTTCAGAATGTAGCGAAGATCTGCTCGGTTTTGTCTGACACATAGAGGATTAGGCCTCAGCCATGCCGCCTCATTCACAAAATACTAGATTGGCTGGCAACGGATTCATCTTAACGATAATATCCACGAATATACATTTCCTGAAAGTCTACGCGTGAATGTTTTCTTCACATATGGCAAACAACACCTTATCACAGACGAACCAACAGACATCAGCCTTACACTCACTTTTATTTGAGATAAACTGCAATTACATATCGAACTAGAATTGAGAAAAAAAGTTACAGAACTCTTAGACTAAATATGTTGAAAAACCAAAAATTACAAATAGTTCAGTGAAGAAAATCTCAAATTGCTGTGTGCTGCTTTCAATGTATAATCTTCTCGAAGAAACGTCCGAGTTAAACATAATACATCCGTTAAAAAATGGAATATTACACAATATTCTATGCTCAATACGCTGAATTAATTAAACGTTTTCCATCCCCAACAACACATCACAAATAGATGGCGACAAAAATTTAGAAGATTATTAGTAACACGTCTCTCTTCTGATTCAAAATTACGGCCGTCAAAATCAACAACACCAATGAAAAAATACAAATTTTACTAAGTAGAACAAAAACTTGAAATAGATGGAATGAATATATTTCTTAGTTCTCATCATCCTTATATCAGAACAGATGTAAAATATCAGACATTACGACTAATCACCGTTTTCTTCTAAAACAAGTATATTCATCAATTTACGTACTGTCTTAGTCTACCATTTCAGAAGTATTTTCCATTGAGTTTGTCAAAATAAAGAAATTCAATCATTTTGTTTAGATAACAAAGTGCAGAAAATAATCGGTGCAGATGTTTTTCTTATTAAAAAAATGACTAGAGGAAAGTATTATAGATTACTTTTAATAAAACATGAAATAAAAAGAAAAAGCCAATGTTTTCACAATGATTGATGTGTTTTTCTATGGATTGTATGCTATTTTTAGAAAAATCTAAAATAATGAAAAAAGAATTCGTAGTGCGTCATACATTAGATCGATGAAAAGAAATTACATTCAATGTGTGAAAAGATCTAAATTTTTTATTAATGATACTTTACTTAATCTAGCCAATTAGTGGAACTTTTATGAATATTTTTCGTAAAATGAAAAGGCGTTTTTAGCGTTTTTTAAAGAAAGTAATTGTGAAAAGAGTTTTGGCAACCCTTTAAACTTCGGAACGATTAGAGAGATTAGTGATTAACATTAACACGTTAGTTTTAGTGATTTCATTTTCCACTCATAAACTTTATAAATAAAACGTAAAAATCAACTTGAATTTCCATGTGTAAAAACGTGCAACCACAACTTAAATTAAAACGTCTAAAAGTTTGCTACCATTTTCTTCTCAAAAGATCACAACTGAAAACCATACATTTTTGATATATGGAATTTCAAGCTTCGAATAAAACATAGTTAAACAGAATTAAAATCATAAGAAAGGTTTTCACAGGTAAAGAACAAGAGTTGTATCAGAGACAGACTGATTGTCCTTCTACATGAGAAAAAAATGTGTGCAATTAATCAATATACATAATAAAAATAGTGTTTTCTGTCCTATGTACATTCAACATACTTCACGCTATACAATAAAAATAAAAATATCTATCATGGTACGTGTTACATTCTAGTACTTGTGAACGGGTAATTATTTACCTGTGAATTTTTCTGAATACTTGACAGGTACTTGACCAATACTTGATTTACTTATTGGATTTCTCACAGATACTCGAGGATTATTTGAGCAAGTGCTTGGCCAAGTACTTGACAAGATGGCAAAGTACTTGTTATCAGAGAATTTTTTCAAAAT